TCAAAAATATCCTTAAAAAAGGGAAACATTTTTTATTTAAATATTTCTTAATCTATCCCTAGATCATCCAATATAAAATTTCTTTGTGATTCAATGCTTATTGGCCTATCGAAAGAATTGCGCAAACTAGGACTCGATTGTGTGGAAATTCATAATAATGTCGACATCAATCGTTATATCGATATGGCACGCAATGAACAACGTTTTGTACTCACCAGAGATTCAAGATATTTAACCTTTTCACGCGATTTGCCACAAAACCAATGTTTACAAATACCTTCGGATTCTGCAGAGATGCAAGTACTTAATATCTTACAATATTTTCAAATACAAATCGATCGGCGGTCACTCTACACACGCTGTACACAATGTAATGGCAATGATTTTTTGTTGGCCAATCGTAATGAAATGAAATTAATGCGTTTTTCACAATTGCGTCGCAATGAAGCCAATGACATGCTGCCACCTTATGAAGAGAGTCCAGAGAAATTGTGGAAATTGCAGCGTGTAAACGATCATATCATTGAGACGAAGACCACTTTGCGTGGTAAATATATAAAAGTAAATCGTATAAATCCGTATGTTCTAAACAATCAAAATTATTTCTTTATATGTGATGTAAGTCTAACATTTATTTGTGGTTTACTATTCATTTAACAATTTTCTTTTGATTTCTTTTAGAATTGTGGTCTATGTACTTGGCCTGATGCCGTACATTTGCATCAATCTGTTTTGGAATATTTATATCCAAACTCAGCATCTGGTTATGCCACTAGTAATTACAATACAAATGTATCCCAGTGATAAATTATTATTTAGATGTTCTACCTATAAAATATAATAGCAATTGAATTTGCTATAATTTCCATGAATTTATTGTAGAGATTTAATAAGTTTTTTTTAGTTTTTTTCTTTTGAATGAATGAAATGAAAATCAAACTGCAATGTGTGATTATTTTTTTTTTTAATTTTGTTTTAATTTCTATACCTGAAAATATTTTTCTTATTTTTTCATCCTAACTATAAAACAATATATTATAATATTATATTTAAATAAAGCTGAATTGTTATTTGTATAATGGATAATTGTAGTTGTTTTAACTTCAAAATTATGGGAACGAAATTACACCCAATTTAGACAAATTTCTATAAAAAGAGCAATTTTCTGAAAATTGTTCTTAGATTTTTAAATATTGTTCACATCAACTCCCACAAAATTATATATACATACATATATACATAAATACATATGAATCAATTAATTAGCCCAATATCAGGTAATTGCGTCTTTAAATCAATATAATTGCATTGACAAATTTTTTTATAAATATCAATCAAGCTTCAATTCAAGGTTAAAATAGGTTAGCTTATGTTAGGACAGAAAGGCTTTAAAACAGAATGGCTGTAGTATCTAACTAACTAACTACTAACTAACTAACTAACTAACTAACTAACTAACTAACTAACTAACTACTAACTAACTAACTAACTAACTACTAACTAACTACTAACTAACTAACTACTAACTAACTAACTAACTAACTAACTAACTAACTAACTAACTACTACTAACTAACTAACTACTAACTAACTAACTAACTAACTAACTAACTAACTAACTAACTAACTAACTACTAACTAACTAACTAACTAACTAACTAACTAACTAACTAACTAACTAACTAACTAACTAACTAACTAACTAACTAACTAACTAACTAACTAACTACTAACTAACTAACTAACTAACTAACTAACTAACTAACTAACTAACTAACTAACTAACTACTAACTAACTAACTAACTACTAACTAACTAACTACTAACTAACTAACTAACTAACTAACTAACTAACTAACTAACTAACTAACTAACTACTAACTAACTAACTAACTAACTAACTAACTAACTAACTAACTAACTAACTAACTAACTAACTAACTAACTAACTAACTAACTAACTAACTAACTAACTAACTAACTAACTAACTAACTAACTAACTAACTAACTAACTACTAACTAACTAACTAACTAACTAACTAACTAACTAACTAACTAACTAACTAACTAACTAACTAACTAACTACTAACTAACTAACTAACTACTAACTAACTAACTAACTAACTAACTAACTAACTAACTAACTAACTAACTAACTAACTAACTAACTAACTAACTAACTAACTAACTAACTAACTACTAACTAACTAACTAACTAACTAACTAACTAACTACTAACTAACTAACTACTAACTAACTCTAACTAACTAACTAACTAACTACTAACTAACTAACTAACTAACTAACTAACTAACTAACTAACTACTAACTACTAACTAACTAACTAACTAACTAACTAACTAACTAACTAACTAACTAACTAACTACTAACTAACTAACTAACTAACTAACTACTAACTAACTAACTAACTAACTAACTAACTAACTAACTAACTAACTAACTAACTAACTAACTAACTAACTAACTAACTAACTAACTAACTAACTAACTAACTAACTAACTAACTAACTAACTAACTAACTACTAACTAACTACTAACTACTACTAACTAACTAACTAACTACTAACTAATAACTAACTAACTACTAACTAACTAACTAACTAACTAACTAACTAACTACTAACTAACTAACTACTAACTACTAACTAACTAACTAACTAACTAACTAACTAACTAACTAACTAACTAACTAACTACTAAACTAACTAACTAACTAACTACTAACTAACTAACTAACTAACTAACTAAAACTAAAAACTAACTAACTAACTTAACTAACTAACTAACTAACTACTAACTAACTAACTAACTAACTAACTAACTAACTAACTACTAACTAACTAACTAACTAACTACTACTAACTAACTAACTAACTAACTAACTAACTAACTAACAACTACTAACTAACTAACTAACTACTAACTAACTACTAACTAACTAACTAACTACTAACTAACTACTAACTAACTAACTAACTAACTAACTAACTAACTAACTAACTACTAACTAACTAACTACAACTAACTAACTAACTAACTAACTAACTAACTACTAACTAACTAACTAACTAACTAACTAACTAACTAACTAACTAACTACTAACTAACTAACTACTACTAACTAACTAACTAACTAACTACAACTAACTAACTAACTACTAACTAACTAACTAACTAACTAACTAACTAACTAACTAACTAACTAACTAACTCCTAACTAACTAACTAACTACTAACTACTAACTAACTAACTACTAACTAACTACTAACTAACTACTAACTAACTAACTAACTAACTAACTAACTAACTAACTAACTAACTACTAACTAACTAACTAACTAACTAACTAACTAACTAACTAACTAACTAACTAACTAACTAACTAACTAACTAACTAACTAACTAACTAACTACTAACTAACTAACTACTAACTAACTAACTAACTAACTAACTACTAACTAACTAACTAACTAACTAACTAACTCCTAACTAACTAACTAACTAACTAACTAACTAACTACTAACTAACTAACTAACTAACTAACTAACTAACTACTAACTAACTACTAACTAACTAACTACTAACTAACTAACTAACTACTAACTACTAACTAACTAACTCACTAACTACTAACTAACTACTAACTAACTAACTAACTAACTAACTAACTAACTAACTAACTAACTACTACTAACTAACTAACTAACTAACTAACTACTACTAACTAACTAACTAACTTAACTAACTAACTAACTAACTAACTACTAACTACTAACTAACTAACTAACTAACTAACTAACTAACTAACTAACTAAAACTAACTAACTAACTAACTAACTAACTAACTACTACTACTAACTACTAACTACTAACTAACTAACTAACTAACTAACTAACTAACTAACTACTAACTAACTAACTAACTAACTAACTAACTAACTAACTAACTACTAACTAACTACTAACTAACGAACTAACTAACTAACTAACTAACTAAACTAACTAACTAACTAACTAACTAACTAACTAACTAACTAAACTAACTAACTACTAACTAACTAACTAACTAACTAACTAACTAACTAACTAACTAACTACTAACTAACTAACTACTAACTAACTACCTAACTAACTAACTAACTAACTACTACTAACTAACTAACTAACTAACTAACTAACTAACTAACTAACTAACTACACTAACTAACTAACTAACTAACTAACTAACTACTAACTAACTAACTACTACTAACTAACTAACTAACTACTAACACTAACTAACTAACTAACTAACTAACTACTAACTAACTAACTACACTAACTAACTAACTAACTAACTAACTAACTAACTAACTAACTAACTAACTAACTAACTAACTAACTAACTAACTATTTAACTAACTAACAAGTTTTTACGCTTTTTCCTAATGTCATTTCGAAGAACCTTTGCGGGCTAAATGAAGCTTCTCTCCGGAGTTTCAAAAGGATTAGTTGAATCCCTTGATGTCAGTTTTCTTTATTTTTAGTACTAGAATTTTGTGTCATAATTCGTTATGAAAGATCAGGTTAAAATGAGAGGATATAACACTCTGACATTTACATTCTCAGTCAGAATTGATTTTTGATTATATCTCGAGGTAAAAACTTTTGAAACTCTTTAAAGAGAGAAAATTTCGAAAGTTATTATTTTTATAAATAAAGAAAGTTTTCGGGAATTCTAGAGAGCAGTTCAAATAAAATTCCATTAGTATGTTGTCCAATAATGACTAGAGCATAATCAAGGGAATCCACCTTACTGGAAGATGAACAAACAATATAGACAATTCTAATAATTAAATGATAGCCAATGATCATTATAATATATAGTATTTATATTAATTTGAGTAAAATTAATTTAGTTATAATTATTTTAATTAATAAACCATAAAGGTATAAAATTCTAAAGTAGCTTTAATAAATAATGTGAAAACCATTTATTATTTTGAAAATGTTTTCAAAAGGTAACGTTTTAATAATCGGCTGCATTTTAGTAATTTCTAATAAACTTACCGTAAGTAAAATTAATAGAATTTCGTGCAGTCCGAAAATAAACTAAACTATATAATCTTGAAGCAGTATTCACACGTACGTTTCACCAATGTAGTGTGTGAATGTGTGGATCCTACTTTTTGCACTATTGAACGTTGTGATCTAATTGCAATTTCCCGAGATTCAAAAAATATGACACTTAAGGCGGTACTACTACAGTTACCTATAACTGATTTTGAGGTGATATTATAGAATTCTTTATTTCCTATCTAATATAAAATCTTTTTAATTTATTCGCAGTTAAGAATACAAGTCATGAAAAGGGCTAATGGTTGGAAACCATTTCTATACGATTTAACCGTAAATTGTAATTTTACTAAGAAATTAAATGTTGTCACCAGATTGATTTGGAATGGTGTTCGAAATTATTCAAATGTTAAACATGATTGTCCTTATAATGTGTGTGTGTGTTTAATATTTATTTATAAATTTATAAGAAATTTAATTTGTATCCAAAAAAATTTCAGCAAAATTTGGAAGCAATCAATTTAAATAATGCTGCTATAGAGAAGGCCTTAGGTCCTTTGCCAGTTCCTGAGGGTGAATATGCGATTTTTACAACGTGGAAAACTTTAAATGTAACTAGAGGAACATTAAATGTGTTTGGTGCTTTTTATTAATCAAAACTTAAATATATCAGTGTTAAAATAATATATTTCGATCCACAATTCTAACAGAGTTAGATCATTTTTATAAGTCGTTTTATCGATATCCACCTGTTAAAAGGATAATCTAATTCTAGGCTATAATGAACCCAGGTTCTTGGACATACTTAAATACCTATGCTTAATCCTTGATCGACAATTAAAATTGAGAGTTAGCAGCTATGATAATATTAGGGCCGGTTATGGAAAAAAGTGTAACATAATAACTATTATGAAGAGTTCTCCGTACAAAGCTTTAGAGACCTTGCTGGTTATTCGCCCGATCGAAATGCATATACATAATTTAATGTTTAGTCTTTAGGAAAATTGACTAAAGTCCAAGTTCCAAGACTCATCACCAATGAATACAGAAAGGACGTGACTGATTGCATACCGGAAACATAAATTGTCGGGAACAGAGAAACATTGGTACGATATACGATATGTTGGATCGGGCCATAATTGATCATAATATTCCATATAAAGTCCACTTTCGAAAATCACTTAATAGTAAATAAGTCATGAATTAATAACGTTATCGCGATAAAATTATACTCGCATATGATCGGCCTATAATTGGTTTTAGCTTCCATATAAAGGCCTCTTCTTATGATATCGGTATAAAATTATATTATATTGTAAATATAAAAATCATTCTGCGATACTTTTTCCGGGTCGATCCATTAGTTGCTTATTATTTAAGCTTTCTGTTTTAATTTTATAAAAGGTTTATAAATCAAATTTTATTTGGAAAATTTACAAAAAACTTTTAATAATTTTTATAAAATTATATTAAAATAATATGCAATGGTGTGGAAAATTGACTTAGTTTTATTATAATTATTAAAAACAAGTTAGCATGGCCGGCCATATAATACCCTACACAATAATTCAGAAAATGATTCGATTGGTTACCAGCGGTATAGCAAACTCAATATTTGAACTATTTAGAAATATTGTAAATAATATAATTAGTTTTTAATTTATGTTTAAATTAATTAACCACATATAGTATTTTAATTTAGCATAAACAATTAATAATTATAATTTATCCACACGTTTAATATTTAGGTTTGGTACATTGTTTATTATTTTCAAAATCATTTCAATTAAAATAATGTTTTCAAAAAGTCAAATGATCGGTTTTATTTTGATGTTTATTTGCCCTAAACATATAGTAAGTATAATTTAATTGATTTTGAGTTATTGGGAGATATTATGTATATGTATTATTGAACACAGTATTCACGCGTACGTTTTACTAATGTGGCATGTACAAATTTGGATCCTTCGTTTTGCAATATTGAATGTTGTAAACTTGTTGCAGTTTCAAGAGATGCTAAATATATGACCCTGAAAGCTATACTATTGCAGGTTCCAGTAACTGACTTCGAGGTAAGATTGCTTTTACATATCTACATACTTAGATGTATGTATGTAAACTGATTCTGTCATTTGGAAAGTAATATTGATTTATATTTTGGGTCCTTATAAAATCGAAATTGACCCATATTCAGTTCCAGTTCAGTTCTAGTTCAGTTCTAGTTCAGTTCTAGTTCAGTTCTAGTTCAGTTCTAGTTCAGTTCTAGTTCAGTTCTAGTTCAGTTCTAGTTCAGTTCTAGTTCAGTTCTAGTTCAGTTCTAGTTCAGTTCTAGTTCAGTTCTAGTTCAGTTCTAGTTCAGTTCTAGTTCAGTTCTAGTTCAGTTCTAGTTCAGTTCTAGTTCAGTTCTAGTTCATAGTTCATTTAGTTCAGTTCTAGGTTTCAGTTCTAGTTCAGTTCTAGTTCAGTTCTAGTTCAGTTCTAGTTCAGTTCTAGTTCGTTCTAGTTCAGTTCTAGTTCAGTTCTAGTTCAGTTTAGTTCAGTTTTAGTTCAGTTCTAGTTCTAGTTCAGTTCTAGTTCAGTTCTAGTTCAGTTCTAGTTCAGTTCTAGTTCAGTTCTAGTTCAGTTCTAGTTCAGTTCTAGTTCAGTTCTAGTCAGTTCTAGTTCAGTTCTAGTTCAGTTCTAGTTCAGTTCTAGTTCAGTTCTAGTTCTAGTTCAGTTCTAGTTCAGTTCTAGTCTCAGTTCTAGTTCAGTTCTAGTTCAGTTCTAGTTCTAGTTCTAGTTCAGTTCTAGTTCAGTTCTAGTTCAGTTCTAGTTCAGTTCTAGTTCAGTTCTAGTTCAGTTCTAGTTCAGTTCTAGTTCAGTTCTAGTTCAGTTTCTAGTTCAGTTCTAGTCTAGTTCAGTTCTAGTTCAGTTCTAGTTCAGTTCTAGTTCAGTTCTAGTTCTGTTCTAGTTCTGTTCTAGTTCTAGTTCAGTTCTAGTTCAGTTCTTGATATTTTGTGGATTTTAATTCCAATTATTGATTTTTTCCAGCTAAGAATACAAATAATGAAAAGAGCCAATGTTTGGAAACCATTTCTATACGATTTAACAGTTAAATGTAATTTTCCAAAAAAATTAAATCCGGTCACCAGATTACTTTGGAATTTCTCAAATATAAAACACGATTGTCCATATGATGTAAGAGCAATCTGATATTAGAATTTTAAATTTCTATCTGAACCTTAATGAATATTTCAGCAAACTTTGGAAACACTTAATTTAACTAATGCAATAATAGAGGATGCATTTCGAGCTCTGCCCGTTCCACAAGGAGAATATGGATTTTTTACAACATGGAAAGCTTATAATAAAACCCGAGCAACTATAAACTTTTATGGTATTATATATTAATTGAATAATTGAATTAGAAATTAAAAATTAATTTATAATGAAAGTGTAATAAAAGAATTTGAAGTGGAAGTAGTAAAGGTAAGTGCTTTATGGGTAAAGCTAACGGATTTAATTTCTGACAGCGTTTTGAGATAATTGTTTTGGATAAGTTTTGATTTAACACTGAATTTATAATTTTAATAATTTTGAAATATTAATATTCAAATTAAATCGTGTGGAAAATTAATTTAGTATTTTTGTAGTATTTGCATACAATTTAAACATTTTAAGTTGTAAAAAAATATTTATTATTTATTTATTTTAATGTAAATTTTTAACAATTGTTCATAACTGTTAAATTTCCCAAAAACTTTGGAAAGTTTGGTCTGAATTAATTAATTTGTTTAATTGATTATTGTATTATCTTATTTTTCATGATTGTTATACCCTGTAATGTCCCCGATAAAACAAATTTATTGAAATGCCGTTCAAAATATTTATTTCAGAATTACTTTTCAATTATTAATATTTTTCTCGAAGAGAACACAAAGAAGGAAATCTCTTATGGGTACCACTAGCACATTTAGAGGCAGTTGGACCTTGTTCATAAACCGGAGCTCCATTTATATTAGTATAAGCATAATTACAGGTCATTAACTGTTGAATATATGCATTTCTATTATGTCTCAAGATAGCGCAACCCACATGAGTAGCTTTATCTTGTATCATAGCCGTAAAATGACCAATAGCTTTGCTGGAATATAGGAAACATAAAAAATATATAAATAATCTGAAATTTTTAAATTTAAAATAACATCTTACCCAGTATTTGGTTTTGAATAACTTTGGATAACATCCACCGGACAATCTTTATATTCATTAAACCAACGTTGTATATGATTATTAACAACTTGTAGAACAGTCTTTTGCATGCCTTTCCAGGAGGATATTGCAATGTTTTGTCCAGCATATGGAAAATCTTTAGTGTTGCGACATTGATCATGACGCATTTGACATTGTTTAACATTATACTCAGCCAGTTTGGCTAATTCGTTATTCCAAATCATGCCCGCCATACGTGCGGCTGGGGGAAATTTACCAAAACCCTGGGCGATTTGATTACGCAAGGCATTGTGCTTATTGACAATTTGGGTTCGTATAGCTGGTGTTATTTGAATTATTCTAGGATTTCTACAAATTGCTGCAAAATTCTGTAATTAATTATAATTTAAAATAGTTTAGGAAATATTTAGTAAATTTACTTACTCCATTATTGTTGCATCCAATGTGTTTTCTACCATTTCTACACAGATTTGCACTACAGTAATCTGTTTGGGCAAAAACTGCTGGCAGTAGTACCAGGAGTAAAGTATAAATTTTACCGCTGAACATTTAATTATCTATAATTCAAACACGTTCGGCAGATAACTGTCATTTTAACACTTAGTTCTAATGAATTTTATATAGTCACGCAATGGAAAATATATACAGTGAAGAGAAAAATTTAGCGCACAATTTTTTCAGTTCTATTTCGGCATTATTTCAAGTTCAAGTTCAGATGTAGTTCAGATCTAGTTCAAGTTCAAGTTCAGATGTAGTTCAGTTCTATTTTAGTTCTAGTTCAGTTCTAGTTCAGTTCTAGTTCAGTTCTAGTTTAGTTCTAGTTCAGTTCTAGTTCAGTTCTAGTTCAGTTCTAGTTCAGTTCTAGTTCAGTTCTAGTTCAGTTCTAGTTCAGTTCTAGTTCAGTTCTAGTTCAGTTCTAGTTCAGTTCTAGTTCAGTTCTAGTTCAGTTCTAGTTCAGTTCTAGTTCAGTTCTAGTTCAGTTCTAGTTCAGTTCTAGTTCAGTTCTAGTTCAGTTCTAGTTCAGTTCTAGTTCAGTTCTAGTTCAGTTCTAGTTCAGTTCTAGTTCAGTTTAGTTCTAGTTCAGTTTAGTTCTAGTTCAGTTTAGTTCTAGTTCAGTTTAGTTCTAGTTCAGTTTAGTTCTAGCTCAGTTTAGTTCTAGTTCAGTTTAGTTCTAGTTCAGTTCTAGTTCAGTTCTAGTTCAGTTCTAGTTCAGTTTTAGTTTAGTTCTAGTTCAGTTCTAGTTCAGTTCTAGTTCAGTTCTAGTTCAGTTCTAGTTCAGTTCTAGTTCAGTTCTAGTTCAGTTCTAGTTCAGTTCTAGTTCAGTTCTAGTTCAGTTCTAGTTCAGTTCTAGTTCAGTTCTAGTTCAGTTCTAGTTCAGTTCTAGTTCAGTTCTAGTTCAGTTCTAGTTCAGTTCTAGTTCAGTTCTAGTTCAGTTCTAGTTCAGTTCTAGTTCAGTTCTAGTTCAGTTCTAGTTCAGTTCTAGTTCTAGTTCAGTTCTAGTTCAGTTCTAGTTCAGTTCTAGTTCAGTTCTAGTTCAGTTCTAGTTCAGTTCTAGTTCAGTTCTAGTTCAGTTCTAGTTCAGTTCTAGTTCAGTTCTAGTTCAGTTCTAGTTCAGTTCTAGTTCAGTTCTAGTTCAGTTCTAGTTCAGTTCTAGTTCAGTTCTAGTTCAGTTCTAGTTCAGTTCTAGGTTAGTTCTTGTGCGAACACTTTATCCACTCAGTGTATTACCAAATTCCCGCTTAAACTATATTTAAATAAATATTAGTTATTTTAGTTATTTACTTTCAAATACTGTTGTTTGCGAAATTTCAAACAATTGTATTTGCCTTTCCTATAGTTTCTAAATTATAATATTTTTATTTAATTTGCAAAAACGTGGACTTTTTATTTCAAAAATTAGCAAACCTCTTTGTTGTTAAAATATTTATTTCCAGGCTTCCCTTAAAATATACATGTTGATATGGAAATTTTTAAATTATCATTAAATTGACTACAGATGCATTTTCTACAATAACATGATCTTTGACAAGTTCCTAAAGAAATATGATCTCTGACAAGCTTTTTTAAGAAAACTATCTATCTACCAGTTTTCTAAAAAAATCTGACCTTTGAAAGAAAACTGATCTTTGAAAAATTTTTTAAGGAAAAGTGATCTTGGAAATCTAAAAAAATCTAAGGAAATCTGATCTTTAAAAAGTTTTTTAAAGAAAAGTGATATTTGAAAAGTTTTCCAAAGAAAACTCATCTTTGAAAAGTTTTGTAAAGAAAACTGATTTTTGAAATGTTTTCTAAAGAAAACAGATCTTTGAAAAGTTTTTTGAAGAAAACTAATGTTTGAGAAGTTTTCTAAAAAAATGATTTTTGATAAGTTTTGACAAATTTTCTAAGGAAAACTGATATTCGACAAATTTTCTAAACAAAACTGACTTAATATAAAAATAAGAAAATGAAGTTAATATACAAATTGATCGTAATTAGTGAATGATCTCGAGTTTTAAGTTCTAATCGAAAAAATACAAGTTTAATTGATCGTATTTAGTGAATGATCTTCTTGTTAACATGGCATGTGTTTAGTAGAACACAGCTAAATAAATAATCGTGTATCAAGAAGTTTGAGCATTTTATAGAAGTGCGTTAAATTTATGTAAATATTAGATATATATTATGGGTTCATTAAACAGTTTTAATAACAGCTGTTGGTATATAAGTAAAACTGTTCTAAAATTAAACTAACAAGGCCATTTTCTATAAAATCTATATATATAAAAATGAATGTGTGTTTGTTTGTATATTTGTATGTTTGAACGTTATAGACTACTAAACGGCTGAACCGATTTTCTTGAAATTTTCACAGCATATTCCTGCATGTCTGGAATAGGTAATAGGCTACTTTTTATTTCGAAATTTCAAGTGGGCGATGAGCCACGCCCACATTAAGAAAATATAAAATCCGTATATTTTAGATAATATAACAGTTAGAGTCCTCAAATTTTGTCGGAGCCACTTTAGTGTCAATATGATCATTTAGGACAAAAAGTAGGCGGACTAGCATTAGGGGGCGTGGTACCTCCCATATCTATATATATAAAAATGAATGTGTGTTTGTTTGTATGTTTGTATGTTTGAACGTTATAGACTACTAAACGGCTGAACCGATTTTCTTGAAATTTTCACAGCGTATTCCGGCATGTCTGGAATAGGTAATAGGCTACTTTTTATTTCGAAAATTGAAGTGGGCGATGAGCCACGCCCACATTAAGAAAATATAAAATCCGTATATTTGAGATAATATAACAGTTAGAGTCCTCAAATTTTTTCGGAGCCACTTTAGTGTCAATATGATCATTTAGGACAAAAAGTAGGCGGACTAGCATTAGGGGGCGTGGCACCTCCCATATAAATTAGACACAAAAATTCGTTTATCTGGGAAACTAATATAACTAAATTCTTAAAATTTAGCACGAAGAACTTTAACATCCATGTAAACATTTTGGGTAATAAATTGGGGGACTACCCATGAGGGGAGCGGCACCTCCCATATTAATTAAAAACAAAAATTCGTTGATCTGGGAAACTAATAGAACTAAATTCTTAAAACTTTGCACGTGGCACCTCCCATATAAATTAAATACAAAAATACGTTTATCTTGGAAACTATTACAGTTAGAATCTTAAAATTTTGCACGAAAAACTTTAACCTCCCTCAAAACATTTTGGGTAATAAATTGGCGGACTACCCATGAGGGGAGCGGCACCTCCTATATTAATTAAAGACAAAAATTCGTTTATCTGGAAAATTAATGGAACTAAATTCTTCAAATTTTGCACGAAGAACTTAAATATTCATTTGAACATTTTGGAGGAAAAAAGCGGTCTTTCATCTGGGGGGTCTTGAAGCCCCCACATGAATCAAATAGAAAAATTCGTATATCTGAGAAACTATTAGAGCTAGAATCTTCAAATTTTACATGGAGAACTTTGAAATTCATGTGAACATTTAGAGCATAACGGGCGGACTTTCAATGGGTGGCTTGGCACAACATATATGAATTAAATACAAAATTTCGTGCATATTGGAAACTCTTATATTATTCAAATTTTTTATAGATAGATAGAAATTGGCGATAGATAGAAACTGGCGAACTTGCAATAATTTGCTTGACATCTTTCATATGTAACATATAATAAATCTGGTATTTATTTATACATATTCCTTTTAGGGTAGCAAAGCACACTGGGTATAGCTAGTATTAAATATAACTCTTTTAAATAAATAAAAGTATTTTTTAAAGAAACCCCTTACCCTAGACTACTAAATCCTTAAGCAAAAGTAAACTTTCAATTATAAAAGCTTAAGAATCAAATTAAGAAAATGCTTTGAATTTTATATGTTGTATATGCTTTTATTTAATTTTTTATTTTAAATTATATTTTTCCTTAATGGAACATAAGGACTTATACTTTTTATCTTTGCCAGTTTTACACTTTGAGGCACTGCGACCTGCACGATATACGGGAGATTTCTTCATATTAGTATAAGCATAATTACAGGTCATAATCTGTTGTGTGGAACCACTCTTTCTGCTTCTCATGATAGCACAACCAATATGTGTAGATTTATCTTGAACCATGGCAGTGAAATGGCCAAAAGCTTTGCTGAAATTTTATGAAAATTAAAAAATAAAATATTTCAAAATATTTTGTGCAAATAACTACATACCCCGTTTTAGGACTAGAATAACTTTTTATAACACTTAAGGGACAATTTTTATATTCATTAAACCAATTCTGTATATGGGTATTGACAACTTGACCGACTGACATATCCTTACCACTCCATGTAGTCATGGCTATATTTTGTCCAGCATGTGGAAAATCTTTAGTATTGCGACATTTATCATGTTGCATTTTACATTGTTTGACATTGTACTCGGCAATTTTGGCTAATTCGTTGCTCCAGACCATGGTGGCCATACGTTCAGCTTTCGGGAATTTGCCGAAACCTGCTGCTATTTTATTACGTAGGGTATTGTGTTTGTTGAGGATACGGTTACGTAAAGCAGGAGTTATTTTTATAATTTTAGCATTTTTACAACCTGAGGCAAATTTCTATAAGAAACGGAGAGTAATCGGTAGGTTTAGAATCTGTTTAACATAATGTTTATTTCGCAAACTTACTCCCTTATTTCCACATGCAATATGTTTCCACTTTTACACAAATTAGCACGACAATAATTAGTTTGCGCTAAAACTGCTGGCATTACTACCAGTAGTAAAATACATATTTTACCGTTAAACATTTGAATATTTATTATTCTTAGACGTTTGAAATATAACTGATATTTTAATATCTAGATCAAATCTGTTTTATACTTAGAAAATGTAGCAAGTAATATTTACAGTGGCTGGAAAGATTGTACTTATAATACATAGTACGTAAACAATTTGTATCTGTTCGCTCTTTAAAATCAGAGTTTTCTAAATCGCAATCAAAATTTACTCAAATGTTATTCATATACTTTCATCAGTGGATTAAGAAATTCACGCTTTGTAAATATTTTGAAAATTTTGTTTATTTTTAAATGTTAT